ATGAATTGAATAGGCGTGCCTATGATGAGATTACGTAAGACCGCTTGATATTGCTCATTACGTTTCCCTTAGTAATAGGTTAGATGACTTTGAAGCAGTCAATAGACAAGACAATGACTATGTACGGTAAGGATTCCTCCCTCCCCTTGTGATCGTTTATCATAGTACAAAACTTGATATGCTTGTGAAGCGAGTGGATCACATTGCTTCGGAGCATAGTGTGCTTCTCGCCAAAGTTGAGAAAGTCGGTGCTGCTGACAGCCACCGTTCAATGCCTACAGGCTCGATGGCAGCAGTGGGGCGTTTGCCACTCTGCTCACAATAGAGCGCCTCTGTCATTTCCTTGAACGTTTTAAGGTAGACAAAGACTGTCTGCAGCAAACGGTACACTTGTGTTCAAACTCACTTCTAACTGCTTACTTACAGGTCGATGGCTTAATAAAGATTGGCGGACGCAATGAATAGGACATTATTAGAAGCCTTCTATCGGGAATTTTAGGGTCGTCCCTAATTTTACAATTTACTGATTCCAGGGCTTCTTAAAACGAAATGTCCTTTAGTGGAAGCCCCTTGTGCGCTTTATTCTGTGGTAGGTTTTCATTTGTGTCACGACGTTCTGAGGCCATCCGACAACATCAACACTTAAGGAATGTTGATGAAAAGGTTGTCCGCAGCACCGTCATATAATGGTTCTACGGGTCTCGGGACCGCTATGGTGGGGTGCGAGGGAAACGGAAGGCTGTTGTCCAGGGAGGCTTCCTGGACTTACTGAACTCTGAAAACACGGTAATTATCATCGTTCTTGCATATCTTCTCTGTTTAGTTGATTTGCTTACTATTAACAGTCCATTTTTACTTAGTAGACATACTATGCGACCGGCATCAGGGCGACTTTATAAGAAGGGTCGTTTTAATTAATTGTTATCAATTATGACTGCGACCCATATAATCACATATAAGTGTAGGCGTGTACGTTACATATATCACTGCCTACTTCCGCATGCCCCCTTTAACTATGAATATTTAGTAGGATAAAATTGATTCAGGTGCCTTTTCTGTATTTTATACAGTATTTCTTAACGTATCTAATATTCCGTTTTCTGTTATTGTAGGAACCCGCCAATATTGCTGAATGCGAGGCAAGTACTTCGCAGTATCGCGATCAGTCTACATTTGAGGGACCATGTTCACAATATGATGATCATTCACTGAATGAACAATGATCATTGTCCGAACGATATCAACAATTTATGTACATATCATTTTCAACAAATAGCTTTTTTCAATAAATTATCCACTTTCGACACTTGTGCTTTCACGAAACAACAAAGTAAGATGCTTGGGGGTGGGTGGAAATGGGGTTCGGCGTCATGCTGCCAAATTTTTTTCCAGGACGGGGGTAAACGGGTTGAAATCCCCGTCAGGAGCTCCGCCCTAGGTGGGGGTATAGCCCGTTTACCCCCTGCCCTAAGTGGGGCTAAACAGGGATTGTGCTGGCAAGGAAACCCGTGTTGGAACATTTGGCCGTGTTATTGATGTACTAATCAGAAGGCCATTTCACTTTGCAGCAAGTGTCCATCCTTAAGCCATACTGCATGAAAATCATATA